TGTACTTCACAAACTTCTTGTAAATTGTATAAAATATAATTTTAATCGAAAATATTGAAAGTTAATGTATATCATTATGGTAATCATATTCCGATTATCAATAACATTATTCTACTTTTATATATGTGAATATTACTAATCACATAAAATATTCCGGCACATTATAATGGTTTCCTCCGAAATAAAATTTAAAAAATGACAGCAAGAACAAGTACAAGACTGTACCGATCATAAGTAATAACGAGTTAATATAATTATTGTTAGATTCTAAATACATTATTACGTTAAATTTATAAATTGGCAAAATTATGTGTAAATTGTCTTTAATGTGACAAAAATGTAATAAAAATAATTTGAAGAAAAAGTAGATCACGTAAATCCACATACAAAATATGAATTTTTTTAAATTAGAAATATGTAATTAAAATGCTATCGACGAATTATATAATAGTTTCACGAAATTGAAATTTAACGATCAGCGGTATAGATACAGTTCTATATTTATTTGTGACATCTAATTCGGAGAATCATATATATTTATCTAGAAATAATCTATGTACATATTATATTGATATATTTATACCAATTATAAAGGAAGTCTAACACAAATTGATGCATCTGCAAAAAAAATAAGAGCAAAAGTTTACTGAGAAGGAGAAAGATATCATCGAATCTTTTAACGTTTCTCTGATATTTTTCTCCATTGTCAATCAAAACAGAAACATGAACCATTTGAATTACTAATTTAGTAAGTATCGTAATATTAATAAGTATTATATAGCGAATTATTGCGTTCTAAAATAATCCTTGTGCAAATCTAAAGATTAATGTAAGATATCTCAAAATGATATCTTCGCCATGAATGCTTTGCGACAACATTTTTCTGCTGTGAATTTCTCATGACATATAATGCATTAATTGAAAGGACTTGATTTTATATCAAGAATGAAAATTTGTCACTTTTAGAGATATGCTGTTCGCGCTATATTAAAGTAACCAATGTATTCTGTCTCTTCCGGTGTGATATCGTTCACGAATATGCCGGCCGATTCATCTTTAGAGAAAATGTGAAATTTATAACGGCTTTCAATGTACTGCAAGATATAAAAATTATGACAATTCATGTTTCGTAATGTATCGGTTGTTGAAAATGAAGTATTGACGTTACAAATAATGTTACAATAGTTCAGCTAATGAGCACAAAATTTTGAAATATAATATATCAATTTGTTTAATACATAATAGATATATAACAAAATGCATATAAATACAAATTAATTAGAAAAAAGTAAAAGAGAAACCAGAATTTGTAATTTTATGATGATCCATTTAAAAATGAGGAATTTGAGCGCAATTATATAGAAAATAATATCTGTTTGTACATTTCAGAAATAACTTACATATCTGTCACGTAACCGTACAGCAAGCTCGATTTTAGTATTGCCTAATACGCCAACAGCTATTAGATTCTTACAGTCATATCGATACTTCTTTAACCAGACCGGGTATCCAAGTTCCATTGGATAATTTTCTGGTGTAATATAGCATTTGGCTTGTCCTCCGTTTATTACGAGCACTCCACCTAAAACTAAAATATTGGATATGAAAGACAGAATTATTTAGACGCATAATTTTTGTAGATCAATTTTATTATTTTTACTCTCTATTTATTTCGTTAATCAAGATATACTCTTATAAAGGTTATCTCTTACCAACTGAACATTGACAATACTTTCTCAGAACAGACTGCATTGTCAGTATGATGCTGCAACGGACTCTGCGCCCTTTAGCACGTATTTTGATCACCATTCCTTGTCTGCCTTCACTGAAGAAGAAGTTGCCCAACATAGAGCATACCATTTGATTAGAATCTGTGATCTCTTTCAGTTGTAAATGCCCAATATCATCTTCATAAACGATACGACTGTTATTATTAACATTTTCAGGTGGCAAGACTGTCGCATTCATAGTAAGCTGTAATAGAAATCGCGTTTCTATAGATAGATAGATAGAGAGAGAGAGAGAGAGAGAGAAAGAAAGAGAGAGGATGAGAGAGAGGAAGAGAGAAGGAGAGAGATGGCGATAAGATAAATAAGAGCGCTTTTAATATTAATGACAAATTAATATAATTAGAATTAAATTTGGACTTAATTTATATAATTAAAATAAAAATTAATACAGCGAAAAAATAAGAAGAATAAAACAATAATCTACTTGCACATTCTATTTTTTTTCGAAAAGCCAATATGTTCTTTTGCGTATGAAAATATCGATAATACGTACAACACCATTGTAAAGCATAGATGGTCTCGCGGCATAACCTGCTCCAATAATAAAGGAATCATGACAATATCTTAATAATTCATCTCGAATGTCGCATGTTATATCTGTTCGCAGGTTTGGCAATAAATTATATAATCCACCAACGCGCAAAGACGACGTGTTACCAGATAGTCCTGTTAAAATATAACATATTGTCATATTGTGTAAATAAATTGCATTTCGCGGAAGATCACGAATGTTTGTTATTATATTTCTTACCAACTGCGGCAAGATTGTACGGCGGTCTGGTTAGACAGGGGCAGCTAACCACATTAATTTCGAATTCGTCGAAAAGTTGGTGCAATCCGACGTACAAAACTATATCATAAAGTAATGATATTTGTAAAATATCACTTATTTAAATTAAGTAATGAATTTCATATACGTACCATTTTTTATGTGTTCGAGGGTAGATGGAAATAATCTATATCCAATGAATAATCCTGGTTCATGAATACCTCTTAGAGGATTAAATAATCTAATAAATTCATTATCGTTTGGCATAAAATTAAAATTTTCATCATCGAGAAGATTAATTCCACTAAAGAAATTATCGTTTGGTATAGCATTTTCATTTTCGAGATCATTATTTCCTCCAACAGCATGACCGTTCGGTATAGCAATTTCATTTTCGGGAGGATTATTTCCTACAGGGAAAGGGTGCGAATAGGGCGCCATAATGCTCGATTTGAAATATAAACACGATGTTACTAGGGAACTATAAAACGTAAAAATTATTAGATTAGCAGATTAAATATAAAGTAAAACATCTAACAGAGTAAACATATCATATACATATTGTATATATATCTCTAATTTTTATAGATGAGAAAATATTATAGTAATATTATATTATAACATATATTAAGAACAAGATTGTACGATTTGAACAGATAAATCTGGTAAGAAAAAAAAATTTGTTTATTAGATTAGCTAAATTACTATTTTTTTTATTTTGAGATTATTTTTGTTTTTAAAAAGAAATATATTATTATATTAATGGATTGCTTGCATTATATGGCATATATGTTCAGATAAAATTGTATAATGATCAATAATTAATAAAATATTTTATAATCATATATCGCGAATACGCATGCAAATGCGAACAAACGCAAAATATACTTTTAAATATATATATATGTAATGTACAATATAGATCAGACTTACGTCAGATAATTTATGGCGTATTGTTCGAGTTATTAATTAGTATTACCATCAAAAGCACGTTTCTCCTTTTGTAGATCGTAAATATGAATATTCACACGGAGCGTTTCGTCAAGAACTATTCTTTTAAATGTAACAGAAACGAGAAGAGGATAAACAAAATATAAGGTTAGCGGTCACGAGACAATGATAACAAACCAATGTGAATTAATGAGATTGTAAATAAGCTTTAAATTTACCAACGAGCTTGAAAATACAAATTCTTATAATTTATTCCTCAGATAAAAAGATGATTTGTAAAAGAAATTACATTTATAAAAATTTGCAAAATTGGGATTTAGCTTCAAATTAAAATACTCTCGCTAAATTGAAAATAGTTTATTATCGTGAAATCATAATATTTTCTAATTTGTTAAAACTTTATGTATGTATAATATTTGCGTAATATGTAAACATATTACACAAATTTTATGTTACATTATATATGTTTTCTTTGTTTTTTCTGTTTAATTCTGTAAATATTTAGAGTCTATAAGTCTATAGCAGATGCAAAAACTTTTAGGTTTTAGTTTAGATACCGTAATATGTATTCCAGAACTGGAGTAATTTCATATTGCGGAACTTACGCTGAAAAAGATATTGTAATGTTTATATATAACAAACGTATTTATTTTGTATTCTTACAAATATTTGTTCAAATCCCAATTTATAAATAATTTTTGTTAAATAATTCAAAGTATGTAGAACCTACGGAATATATTCAGATACGTATATTGAAATATTTAACAGTACAATAATAAATAATATAATAATGAGAAAATTTAAAAAAAATTAAAATGTTACATAATATTAATTTATTTTACTAAGTCCTGCATATATATTCTTATATACGTATTTTTTTGTTTCTAGTATTTTTAATGATATTTGTCTCTACGCGCACGCACATAAGGTTCTTTATTAATTAATTTTACAGAAAAAGACAAAGACTCTTCCTCGTGCACTGACATCTACTGAAATAAAATTAACCGTTGTTGCACTCTTTTCTGTTTCTCTTTCCATTTAATTAATAATATCAAATGTTTCTAAACATTTTCTATTAAGAAATAATTCACTTATTAAAAATGTATATTACAAGCTATATTCTATAATACAACAGCGTAGCCTATTTTTTTAAATAATGTTATGTCACATAATTTTAAGTTTCAAAAAATAAACATATTAAGATATTTACATATAGATATAAGTAAAATATAGATTTGATTAATTTTATTATATTATATGTGGGCATAGGCGAATAAAAATAAATAGAATTATAGTGAATTATTGCTTATTAGAATAAAAAAGAAAATTTTCATTAAATTAAAAGTGACTATTGAAATCGTTATCGAAAATAGAAAATAGTGTACGGCATTAGTTAATAAGAGATTTTAATGAAACATAATAATAAAGATTGTTATAGAATAAATATTGCAGTTGCGTGTAAACTAGCTTTTCTTCTTTTATGATAACATCGCTCGACTCTAAAAGCTCGGTTATTACAATATTTAAAAATTGTTAAGAATATTGAAACAAAATAATTTAATAAGTTTAAAATAGCTGTTCTCTCGTATCCTATCTTCTCTCGTTATTACGAAAAAAAAAACAAACGCCTAAATATGATAATTAGCGCTGCCAATATGAGTAAAGATGACGGACACGACCGATGTCGCGAAGTTCTCTTTCGAAAAACCTCAGTCGGGCAAACAAATAGCCGGAATTCATTATCGGAGTGTTGACGGGTACTCCTTGGGGTGGATCAATATAAGTTCCTAAGACCTTCGTTTCCTCTCGTCGCGTATTTGCTTCGGAGTGCTCTCTTCGAAATCCGGCGTGGTTTTCGTGAGAAAGAGAATATGTCTATTTTATTATCATATACACCGGAAAATTTCACCGCGTTGGAACTTTCCGAAAAATTAAATTCTTTCCTCCGATAGGTAATGGACATAAATAGAATAAAAGACATCACACTATTTATTAAACACAATTATTTTTAGCGTTCAAAATTAGAAAATTTATAGAAGAAGAGAGAAATGTGTGTATGTTATATTTTTATAATTAAATTGATTTTAATAGATGGTAATGATGTACGTAATACATTATAATTAGGTTTCTAAAACCTAATAAAAATTGGATGGATGTAACGAATGTGCGGAAGTGCGGAAGTAACGTCGCGAGTTTTAGCCGATATAATGAATGTAATTTGCGCAAAAATACGCGTTTCATTGAACATCAAACTTTATACATATATATTGCAGGTTCTCCATAAATTCAACATTTTTTGCACAAAGAAATCCTTTTTTACAAAGTTTTTTATAAAACGCCGATATAATTAAGTAATAAATGTCTATTAACAACTGTAGTTAATTAATATAAATTTTAAGTAAAAATAAATTTTTTATTATATTAAAAATTCTTTCATTAAATTGTATTTTGTGATTTTTTCCAAT